TATATATATATATATATATACATGCACATATATACATTTTTTTTTGAAACAACTTGACCACACTTTTTTAGATTTTCGAAAATGTTTCAAAAATGCGCTAGATAAAGTATAAAGCAAGAAATTGCTTTTAAAGATTGTATACTATAAAAGTCATTTTGTTTAAATTAAGGAAAGATATTATATTGTTAAGTGTATATTTTTATGATGAGTGTAAATGTTTTTAAAACAATTTGTACAGTTAATTTTATAAACAACAACAAAACAGTTGTTTTTATAAACTTTTTGATGAATCCATAAATTTAATAATTGAAAACATAATAAAATTATTTTTTTTGTTATGCTATGTAAACTTTCTAATAAAGTTTGTTTATGCTAAGCTAAACGCTTTTAAATAAAGTTTTAAAATGCTATTAAATATATGATCACAGAATATTAAATAAAACTTTCATTTATTTCAACAGTGTTTTTTTTTAATTATTAAGAATGCTAATTGTTTTTTTTTTAAACTATTTGTATTCTTAATTTTATAAACAACAATGACAATAAATGTTTTCAAAAAAAATTTTTTTTTAAATGTTTTTGATAATTTAAATAAAGTTAGTTTTTTATTAAATGATAATTAGATGTAATTTTTTTATTTATTTAAAATAGTTCACCTTATATAAAAAAAAAAAAAAAAAAATTAGAAAAGATCAAAGTTTTATAGTTTGTTACGTTGATTTGAAAAGAAACTCAGGGTTCCATAAAACCTTAAATATCCTTTTAAAAAAAAAACCCTCCTTAAAAGTCCTTAAATAACCTTAAAGAAAGTGAAAGTTTGACTGCTCTCCTTAATTTCTCTCTTTTTTTTTTTTTTTTTCAATCATCTATGAAATTTAAGGGAATAGATTATACTTATTAATAAAGAAGCAAATATATAATTCTTTGATAGGTTGAAAACCTATACTTCTATTATATATAGGAGAGGTTAAGGCTATTGTTCTCGACATAAAACTGGCATGCTGGTCTTCTCCATAAACTTTCTTGTTACAGTGTATCAGGTAACATCTTTAAGATAATTGAATCATTCCTTACCAATCATAGTATAAAAGTTGTCCTCGATGGACAGCAATCTTCATATTCTGTAACTTCAGGGGTTCCTCAAGGTTCTACCAGGAACCCCTGAAGTATAAAATATATAATATATATATATATATTATATATATATATATATATATATATATATATATATATATATATATATATATATATATATATATATAATATATATATATATATATATTATATATATATATATATATATATATATATATATATATATATATATATATATATATATATATATATATATATATATATATATATATATAATATATATATATATATATATATAAAATATATATATATATATATATATATATATATATATATATGGGCTATTGCATTTTTAACATACGTTACACCAGAGTTGTTAGTCCTTGGCCTTGGTCTTGCCTTAAGGCTAAAAATTAGGTCCTTGGCCTTGGTCTTGGCCTTAAAACTCTTGGCCTTGGCCTTGAAATTTTTTGGCCTTGAATTTTTTTTTCTAACTTTCTGTTTATTTTAGCAAGTTTATTTTTTGAATTTAGAACAACAGAATTGTTTAAAAGTAATTACATGCTGTAATTCATTAACTTTTAACTTTATATAATATTATTTAGTTACTTACTGTTAGTTATTTTAAAAAAATCAATGAAAACTTCTTGTGACATTTTGAAGATCATAGAATGTATGAAAAATTTGTTTTTTTGAAATTTAAAATTCGAGCGATTTTAAAATTTTCATTCAGAATAAAATATTCATTCAAAGAAAAGTTTAAAAAGTATGAAAGTTCTATAAAAAGAAGTATATAAAGAATATAAATGTTATTATTAATCGTTGTGAAAGGTTATAACTTTAAATTGTTCCGGAGTTAATTTTTAAATATGCAATTATTACAAAAGTAAGATTATTTTTAATCAAGAGCAGTTTTTATTTGATCAGAAGAATAATTTGAGGTACCAAATTTAAGGTACTTGAGAAATGAAATTTTTGTTGAAATAGTTGTTATATCTAGTATTTACTTAAAATAGTGTAATAATTTTAATAATTCTTCTTTTATGCGTTTAAAAAGATTTAAGTAATGGATAAAGGTTTACCATCAATCATCAAATTTGGATACAAAAATTTTTTTATAAATGGAGATAAATGGTCAGCTAAGTGTAATACTGGTCATGTTAATATTACAGAAAGACACGGTGTAACCTCAGGATTTACATAGTAAGTGAATTATTTTTACAGTTCTCTTTACTTGGTTTAGGCGAAAGGAGGCCTATGATGGCATAGCGCCTATGAAGGTATACCAGTCATAAATTTGGTTTTGGTGAAAAAGTGAATAGACCTGCATGATTATACTGACTTTAAATTAGTTTAAGTAAAAATACGTCATTTGTAGACTAATATCGCTTTTACAATCAACAAAAATTGATTTTGGGATGTGCTTATATTTAAATTTATATTTAATGCTAAAAAATAATATTAACATCTTATATTTTTAAATTTTTATGTATTTTTGTTTTAGGCTTTACTATATATCTATTTTCTAATATATTTTCTTATTGACAATATATGCGCATAACCTTGATTTAATTTTGAAACATGCAGATTTGTTGTTTGCAGCTCCAAATTTAAGTCTTACCCTGTGAAATACTTGGATGTGTCCTTTACCTTGTCCTTGGCTTTGAAATTCTTGGCCTTGACTTGGCCTTGGATCTTGTGGCCTTGGCCTTGGATCATATGGCCTTGTTCTTGGAACATGTGGCCTTGGCCTTGGAGCATTTGGCCTTGACATTGGCCTTGGTCTTGGAAAATGTGGCCTTGGTCTTGGCCTTGCTATATTTGGCCTTGTTAATAACTCTGCATTACACGCGTAACAACTTTATCAAATATTTGCTATTTTGTATGAAAGCTGTTGTTTAATGAATAAAATAAGCTAAAAAGATTTGAGTCTGGCCAAAAGAGGGCGAACTTATTGCTAAAAATGCCACTTACACAAACATTACAGGAAAATAAGCTCAAAAAATTGCTTCAACTTTTAGGTCTGATTTCTGTGAATCAGTAAAGCGGTTTGTATCAGAAACTTTCACAAGATGTTGAGAATTCTATATCAATTTAAAAAATATATAAAAATTTATTAGAGTTGACCGGCTAAGGAAAATAACCTTGTTTTTTTGATACTGTATATTTTACTTACGTTAAATCAGATACATTACCATAGAGTTTTTTTTTATACTATTAGTTAAAGTTATGTAACAGAAGAATTGCACAAGTATTGAACTCATTCTTCAAAAATAATTAACAAAGGAAATATAAAAAACTGGTGGCACTCTTTCTGAGTGATATTTTCAAACATTCATGAAAGTTAGCAAATCGAAAATAGTTTTTCTGCAAGACCAAGAGCAACTTTAAAAAATTATTTAGTATTACAATTTTATTAATACTTAATTGAATTATTTAAATAAGAAAATCTTTGATTTTCAATCGGTTTGTCGAAGTTTTTACTTACACTTCTTACATTTAAGCGTATTGCCTTATTTTCATTAAAATTTTTAAAATGCTACAAAGTATTTACATTTAAATGTAAATACTTTGTAGCATTTTAAAACAAACCAAACAAACAATTTTTTTATAATAGGAGAAAGACAAATAAATCTTTCTTTTTTTATTGTCTAAATAAAAACATTTATATAATTCTTATTTTTGTTTATTTCTTTACATTTTCACGTCAACCAAAATAAGAAGACATACTTAACAAAAAACTGCCTAAAAAAAAATTTAAAAAAATATGAATATATTTAATATGAATAAATTTAAAAAAATATGAATATATATATATATATATATATATATATATATATATATATATATATATATAATATATATATATATATATATATATATATATATATATATATATATACTATTTTGATGTTTTTATTTTCTCACTAATAATTGTAAAAATTAATTATTAATAAGAAAAATACAATAATATAACAAATTAGTTTGGTTTTTTCAGCTCGTTTTTTAAAATGCGTCATTTTTAATATATGCAAAAAAAATCGTGGCCAAATTATCAACAACAAAAAAATACATGCGTGGTCATTCAAGGCATGCAACCCCATGCATCTCCTGAGAAAGCCTGTTCTACCATTGACCCTATACTCTTTAATTTACATTAATGATCTTCCAGATATTCTCACATCTAATGTGGTATTGTTTGCTGATGATACTACTATTTAT